ACACTCACACCCTCCAATATATATGAACATATTATATCATTATTGAGCATGAGCAACCATTACTGATTTCACTGTTATCTGACGACAACAGATCATCAGAAGGTTGAATTTCATCACGAAGATGAAAAACTGCTGTGATATGACCGGAAAGTAATAGTGTCAGAATACTCAAAAGTAATGTTCAAGCATGAGCAACCAATTACCGGATTTACGTTAATTTGATTGTTTGAGAATTTGGTAGAGGTCACGACTTTGTAAGTATTGGTTATGGTGGTTCTTATCATGTATATGAGTTCTGAGATAATCCTTTTTTATCCATATGAAGGATCGTTTTTATTATCCAAAAACGAAAGTCGACGATAGAGTGATGCGAATAGTGCTATAATGTTATGAGGTGATTGTAGAAAATGAACTAATTTGTGACAAGTGCTTTTATTTGAAATAGAAGATGTGCTGATTACATAGAAATTAAGATGAGCGTTTGTTAGTTTTATCTAGGGAGAAGTGGTGGTAGTTCAAGGTTATGTCAATGTTGTTGGTGCAGTAGGTGAAACGGAAACTATTGAATAAATGAATGATGATGATGGCTGTGAGTGTGAGTATTGGTGTGATTGTAAGACAGAAAACATCTACACCTACACCTACACCCATACTCCACACCCACCCACACCCACACCCTTATTTTCAAACAAGTCTTCTTGAACTAGCTTTAATGAATAAGAATTTCATAAATGCAAACAGAAGTACACATTAGAAGTGGTATCATCGCTTGAAACCATAATTACTTTTATACAATAAGTGTGAATGTATACTGTCGTAACAAGGGTACGACCAGGGTACTGGGTGAAATTTCTCAATCAAAGAGCTAAACTATGGTTAGTTACACAACTCTTTTTTCACAATTGAAATAACTACTGAATAGCATCACTAGGTTTCTATTATCGATAGAACAAGTTTATTTGAACACTAACTGCTCACTGAATCCAATGTTTGAAAAATAATTGATTCATAGAACTCTGAACTATCACAGACCTGAAAATCCATGAACAGGCTACCAAGTCAGACCAGGTCGAATTATTTGGCCTGATCAACTCTTACAAAAATGTGTGCTTTAGTGCGTTCAAAAGTTAAGCGTCGCTGTACGGGTGTGGGTATATATTGATGAGCCAGAATCAAAATATTTAGTGTGGCAATGATAATTTTGCTATGGTAATTGCCACACTTGATCACTACGTCGGTGGAAGTGGGAGTGTAAGACAAGAAAAAGCGAACACTCACACCCTCCATAACAAATCGGGCTGAACCATTTTCTGCATATGTGGATACCATAAAATCAGTAAATTGTAAAGTCATTTGATAATCAGTTGGTGTATACTCATTCATCAAACTGATCCAAGTTGTTTCAAATAATGATGGTGGTATAAATGTAAATCGAATTGCAGCAAGCAACGAATGATTAGCCTTTTTATGATCATCATTATTAAGTTCTCTTCTACTAGAAGAAACTAATCGAGAGGAGGCCATACTCTTGAACTTTGCACCAGATAGATTGACCATAATGAAAAAAAAAACAAGCAGAAATCTTCACGGTAGGAAATGTAGACTTACATGCTGGGTTAAAGTAAGATCACTTGAGATGCCTCGATTTTCAAGTTTTGTCTTTCCTACTTCCTGAGAATATATTTTTGTAACTGATGTAGTTTCGTCTCGCACTCGTTGCTTCATACGACCAGCAGTTTCTTCCATGACAATTGTTGCACCAGAAACTGGTGCGTACCTGTAAACACTAGGTTCTCGAAGAATAGTAGTACCAGATGTGCAAAAAGACAAGGTATTTGAGCATTTCCAATCACGATATTGGCATTCTTGCGATGACTTATTTATCCTCTTTTTAATGTATTGACGTTCCTCATAATTGCAAACTTTTCCACCGCGCTCAGATAATATGAATTGAAGCATAACAAGTCAAATACAATGTGATCGATAGATGATGAATATGTGTTGTTGAAAAACATGGACTTTTATACACGCTAACAAAGAGACTGGAATACTGTCGAGTTATTGTTCGTGAATATAGTAATTCTTCCATAATAGTTTTGCCACTGAGGAGCTAATAGAATGATTATGCAAGGCATCAGTCGATCCGGATGAAAAGTTATATAATTAGTTTAACCAATGAAGAAAAAGAAAAAGATTGCACGATATTTACGAAAGAAAGAAGAATAAAAATCATGCGATACATAAGACAAAACATGGAGAGAAAAGATTAAATATCGGTCGATACACGACAATACAATCATTATACAGCAGCCATCATGGAAGGGGCGAGTTGACAAAAATTTTTAAGAGGAGAATCATCTTATTGATGAATTTGAGATGAATTGAGAGAATCCCAATAAAATTATATGAACGATACTATTGTATTCATATAGCTCTTCATCTCGACAAGTACTTTCAAATAAATCGTCGTCTTTGTGTTCTGATTTACTAAGCATAATTTTGAAGATTTCCGAATCATAAACTGATCTAGGTCAAATAACTATTTGCGAACTCGTATATTGTGGAAGCAATCAGAACATTACGAATAATAAAAGAATGATATTTATTAACAAATTAATCATTTTTTAAATACTTTTCGAAAACTAATGCTACAGTATTAAATTAATTTCTTAACAGTAATGTTAAGCCGGCATCCCTAGATAAACTAATTCGAGATAAATATAAGGTGTTCCAAAAGTCATTTACCAAAAATAAAATCATGTATCTCTACTCTAGTTTGGTCAAATGAACTCATTTTGTTCCTGACGATAGAGAAAGATTTTAAGTTTTTAATCTTACATCAACAATATATTAGCACGCTTGAAACCTAGCACCACCTATTTCCATACAGAATTTGGCCTTTTGTCCATGAGTAGTCAACCATATAAAGCACAAAAAAAAATCGGAAAAGTTGTTGATGTATCCTATTTTGTAGAGTTTTCTCCGCTGATGATTTTGAAAAAACAATGTCTATTTTCACGAACAAACAACGGTGCTAGAGTAAAAATACCCAACAAGGTTACGTTGTTCTGGAAGTCTGACTGCGCGGAGCAATGCAACGTTTTCGGCATGTTGACCCTACCGTTGGTATTTGCTGATGAAAATAGAAACTTTTTTTATTGAAATGATCAGTGAAAAAAGTTCTACAAATAGAATATATCAACTGTCTTCCACAATTTTTTGTCTTCTTTGCGTTGAGTACTCTTAGAAGTATCCTGTCAAATGTTAACTTTAGTTGTCACGATTTTTCAGAAATTTTCTGTATATGAATATCGAAGAGGATCCTATGAAATTTTCTATAAGTCAGGTAGGCTAGCAAAGACTCGAAAGTCGTAAATAAATTATTGAAAAATTGAGAAAATTAAAAATCATGACAGAAATTGGAAATCTCTCATTAATTTTTGGTAAAAAGTGTAAGCTTTTTAGTTTAAGGATCTTATTATAATTCTAACCGAGGTCGTTTAACGTTTTCCTGATAAATAGAAACTTGGAACCTGGGGGTGAGTGTGTGTGGATGTCAATGTGAGGGTGTATGAGTATTTTGATTCAGACGTTTTCAAAAGACGCGCATCCAAACCCACACACCGATGCCTTCAGACGCGGTGTGGGCGTGGGTGTGGGTTTGGCTTCATTTAAGAGATCAATCACACCCACACCCGCTGTCTATCGCTAGATTATCTGTTTGGATGAATTTTAATTTTCCCTGTAAAAAGCAGTTGACGCTATTGGAACGGTACCTTTAGTAAAGAAATGGTTTAGCTAGTTGTTTAAGGATCATGTGCATTATGCATGCTGATATTCAGGTAGTCACTCAAAAACAAATCGATTCCTTTACTTACTTCATGCGTTCCACTTGATTCTGAATGTGTCAAACCTAGAAAAGCACTTCGTGTGGCTTATTATTTCATGAACAAAGTGATAGTCATATCCATATAGCTTCTCCAGATATTCAATAGAGCTTATGCAGTGATCTTAAAAGCTGTCGATTAACACACATATGATTCTGCTATGTGATGAAATCGAATGTAGAGGATGTGGAAGTGGATGTGGTTTGAATCTTCTCTCTTAAGACACCCTCATCCTCATCCACACCATTTTTTCTATTTTATTAAATATAATGTTGATTTCCTACGTGATGTACTTAATATCATAGCAGATGCGAGTGGATGATGATGGTCCCATTGTTGTTGGTGGCGATGCTAAAGCAACCGATGGTATCTGTGTTGTTTATGTTGTTGGTGTATTAGTTATTGATGATGATGATGATGATATAGAATTATGTATTGCAATAATTCATTCATTCA